TAAGAAAAACAGTAATAACATCTAAGATATGAACTAAGAAAAACATCAACTAAATATACACTAAGCACTCATAACATAAAACATTGAACATCAGCACAAACATGATCATGAGTCTGTGAGCAGATGAGCACGCATGAACACATCAACATTGAAACAGATCAGCAGCAACATGAAACAGATCAGCAGCAACATGAAACAGATCAGCAGCAACATGATATGGTTTTTCACAGTGATTATTCTAGTTAGAGATTCATGAGTCTAACAGCCTCAGGGTAGAAGCTGTTCCTCAGTTTAGTGGTTCTACACTTAATGCTCCTCAACCTCCTTCCTGAGGGGAGTGGGGCAAAAAGTGTGTGTGCTGGGTGGGTGGGGTCCTTCATGATGCAGGTGGCCCTCTTCCTGCATCTGGAGGTGTAGATGTCTGTGATGGTGGGGAGGCTGATTCCGACAGACTTCTGTGCAGCCTTCACCACTCTCTGCAAAGCTTTTCTTTCTGCAGCTGTGCAGCCTCCATGCCACACATTGATGCTGGAGCACAGGATGCTCTCCACTGCACACCTGTAGAAGGAGATGAGGACTGAGCTTCCCAGACCAGCTCGCCTCAGCCGCCTGAGGAAGTAAAGTCTCTGATGAGCTTTCTTGATCAGGCTGGTGGTGTTGTTGCTCCAGCTGAGGTTGTCATTCATGTGTACACCCAAGTACTTGTAGCTGGAGACCACTTCCACCGCAGATCCTCTTATGTTCAGGGGGGTGTAGGTGTTTTTGTTCCTTCTGAAGTCCACAATCATCTCCTTTGTCTTCTTCACATTGATGTGAAGGTTATTCTCTCTGCACCAGCTCTCCAGGTGTTCCACCTCCTGCCTGTAGCTGGACTCATCATTGTTTGTGATGCATCCCACCACCGCTGTATCATCTGCAAACTTTACAATGTGACAGCCTGGATGGGTAGCTGCACAATCATACGTGAGCAGAGTAAACAGGAGGGGGCTCAACACACATCCCTGAGGAGAGCCAGTACTGAGGGTTATATTGAGGGTTAAATGGAGGGGCTTAGTCCTAGTGTGGATAGTTTGTCCATCAGGGTTTGGGGGATCATGGTGTTGAAGGCGGATGTGAAGTCCACAAAGAGCATACGGACGTAAGAGTTTTTCTGCTCCAGGTGGTTGAGTGCAGTGTGGACCACAGAGGAGATTGCATCCTCTGTTGATCGGTTCTCACGGTATGCATACTGATGAGGGTCCTCGTTGATGTTGATGGTTGTTTTGATGTGAGTCATGACCAGTTATTCGAAGCATTTAGTGACTATCGGGGTGAGGGCCACTGGCCGATAGTCATTCAGACCAGTCACTGTAGAGCTTTTTGGGACTGGGATGATGGTGGCAGTCTTCAAGCAGGTGGGAACTGTCTCCAGGGTTAGTGAGGTGTTAAAGATGTCTGCCAGCACCTCACAGAGCTGATCAGCACATTCCTTCAACACTTTTCCGGGCATGTTGTCTGGGCCAGTTGCCTTGTGCGGACGAGACTTTATCAGTCTCTTAAATGTTTACAATGATCTGACATTTTTAATGTTATCATTCAAACCATTCCACATCCTATTCCCTGAATTATTGTGGATCGTTCCTTCAAACTAGTCCTAAAATAAGGCTTCACAAACATCTCAATTCCTTTAAGAACATATACACTTTCTCTTTTAACAAAATTTGTTTGAATATTAACGGGCAACATTTCTTTATGTGCCCTACCTGTATACATAAGCAACAAAATGTTATAATTAACCAAATCATAGAATCCCCAAATTTTCAGTTGATAAAATAACGTATTTGACGGATATCTATTGTTTTTTTCATAATAATTCGTACAGCTCTTTTCTGTAAAATGAACAAAGGATTAGTTATAGTTTTACACGTGTTACCCCAGACTTCAATACAGTAAACCAAATAAGGAACAACTATTGCATTATAAAACATAAACATTGCTTTATCAGTGAATAACTCTTACTTTTTACAGAATTGCTATCGATTTAGATATTTTTGTTCTCAAATTGTTTATGTGAGGTTTCCATGTTAATTTCTCATCAATAATAACACCCAAAAATTTCACCTCACTGACTCTGCAAATTTCAGTTCCACCTACCAAAAATGGAGCGTGAACATCTGTTTTTCTGTTACTGTGTATCATGTAATAGGTTTTATCCAGATTTAATGATAACTTATTTAGAAGAAACCAATTTTGGATTTTCACAAAATCTGACTGTATTAACTTCAACATTTGTTCTGTATCATCACCTTTACAAATAAATGTTGTGTCATCTGCAAATAAAATACATCTAAAAAAGTCTGAAACATTAACCAAGTCATTCACATACAAATTAAATTACCTGGGTCCAAGTATGGAGCCTTGAGGCACTCCACATGTGATATTACTAAATTTAGATCTTATGTTATGTATTTGAACAAATTGTTTTCTATCTTTCAAATAACTATTTACCCACTTTAATGCTGTCCCTCTAACATATTTATATAGTTTCTCAAGAAGAATTCCATGATCTATAGTATCAAATGCCTTACTTAAATCAACATGAATACTAATACAACTCTTCTTTTGATCAACTGTATTTGTTATTTGTTCCACCAATTCAACAAGTGACATTGATGTGGAATTATTTTTTCTAAATCCATATTGACTGTTACTTAGTGTGTTTTGTTTGTCAATGGATTGATCCAATCTGATCCCAAATAATTTCTCCAAAATCTTTGAAAATTGTGGCAACAGTGATATTGGTCTATAATTATTAAGGTCACGTTTATCCCCATTTTAAAAGTTTTGGGTGAGGACACATAATTGCATGAATACATTCTCTAACCACCTGCGCCACCATAGGTCCACTTGTCACTATTACGGACCCAAGCGATGGAAATGGCCTCTCCCCGGCCGTCGGGCCACCTGTGAATGTTGTGACAGTGAAGTAGGCGAGGTACCAACTTGCATTTTTCATTCAACCTTTAGTTCTACAGGTTAGTTTCAGTGAGTCACGAGGACTCAGAGGAGAGACCTGTTTTAAACAAAAGACACAGATGAGGTGCACACAGCAATAAACATGCTTTATAAAAGCATATAACATGAAAAGCAAATAAAAGAAGTGATATAAAATCAAATTAAACATATGCTACATTATAAAGCAGTGTAAAATTGTAAGGATGGTACTTTTCTGTGGCCCGGTTTGTGTCTGTTTCCCTTGTGCTCCCTCACTAGTTCTATTAGTGCCACCTGTGTCTTGCCCCAGCTGTTTGTTATCACGTCTCGTCTTGTCCTTGTATTTAAGCCGTCCTATTCTGTCTTGTTCTTCGTCGGGTCGTCTTCGTTGGGTACTCTTTGTTGGGTCCTCTTTGTTGGGTCTCCTGAGTCTTTCCCTGAGTCTTCCTGGTTCCTCGAGTTCCCCGTGTCTCTCGTGTCTCCTGAGTTCCCCGTGCCTTCTTCCTATGTCCATGTAAGTTTTGCTGCCCTGTCAGCTTGTTTATTTTGTACTTTCGTTTTTCATTAAAATCCTATTTTTGTATTTTTGCCGAGTTGAGTCCCTGTTCTGCACTCTGGGTTCGCTCCTGACACAAATCCTAACAAAAATCCTAACAAAAATACTTAAAACAGGAACTTATCTGCATTGATGTTTCCATTCAGCTTAACAGTTGTTTAAAATCCTTAGAGAGGTCAAGGTCGAGAGAGAGCTTCAGATGTTTTTGCAAAGTGTTACAGGAGGCCACTTTAAAATGTGCAGTTTGATCACAGCACAACGTCACAGATGTTGCACGTTCTCAGGGAGTGTGCAACCAGTGTGTTATATATGTATGTGTGTGTGTGTGTGTGTGTTCAATTTACTTGCAGTCCCTTTTCTATTTCAGTCCGGAAAAACACTCTTCTTGAAAACTACAAACATTCACTTTTCAAATCCCTTAGCGACGGGGGACATCGGCATGCCACTTGTTCAGTTGCTCTTAACACAAATGGCTAATCAACCAATCACATTGAAGCAACTAATGCCTTTAGGCATGTAAACATGGTCAATATGACTTGCTGTAGTTTAAACTTAGCAGAAGAAAAGGGGAAGAAAGGGGATTTAAGTGACTTTGAACATGTCATGGTTGTTTCTGTCATATGGGCTCGTCTGAGTATTTCAGACTGCTGCTGATTGACCAGGATTATTACATACAACCATCTCTTGGGTTTAAATAGAAAAGTACCAAAAAAAGACAACATCCAGAGTGTCACTCCTGTAACCGAGGCAACAGTTCATACAGACTCACCAATACTGGACAGTAAGAATTAGAGAAACACTGCCTGCTCTGAGTCTGGATTGATCCTCCATAGTCACCAGATCCTCGTGTCCCACATTTTTTATTAGTGGTGGAACAGGAGCTTTACTTCATAGATGCTGCTGACAAATCTGCATGTGTTGCATGATGCTCTCAGTATGGACCTAAATCTCTGGTGAATGTTCCAATATCTTATTGAATCTACCCTACAAAGAATGACACAGTTGTAAAGGCAACAAGGGTCCATCATGGTACTACCAGTGAGTATGTAATAAAGTGGCCAGTGAGCGCAGATCTTAACAAGTTTCATAAGTGGCTGTGTCACAGGCAGTGAAAATGTAAAAGCGCTCTCTTATCACAGTGTTTGCAGTACAGTCCACAGCCCTCCACACTTTGGCCTTTTTAAACAAGACTGAACCCCGTGCTGCTTCTCATCATGCATGTTTGTGTAACAGCAGACCATTAACCAGAAATTACTTACACCGCATGTAACCTTTCTGTCACAAGGAGGCCCAACCTTAAAATGGACAAAGCTTTTTCCATTTTACTATAAATGTTAAACAAAATGCCCATATAGTATTTTATTTGTTATAAATGTTTTGTTTTAAAAACTTAAATTATGTCATTAAAATCATTAACTGATGAAGAAAACAGGAGACATTGTTAAAGTTTTTTTCATGCTTTCCATCCTTTGCAGTGCAGTTTGAGGTTTTGTTATGGAGGAGTTAAATTCACATCCTTGTACAAATATTTACAGTGAATTATACGTGTTTCAGTATTTAAAAACAAGAAGTCATTAATTTACAGAAAAGCAGAAATTGTGAAGATGGATGTGCTTCAAAAATGTAAAATGTGTTTATAAACTTAACGTTTAACTTCTTAACATTTTGCTGTAATAAAATGTCATCCTGGATATTAGTTTATTATTTTATTGTGTTTGTTTTTTAGTTTATTATTTTATTGCGTTTGTTTTTTAACAGCCAGGCATGGAAGACAAGGATGAAGAGGAGGGCTGTTTATACCCGGTCAGTCATTCTTTACTGCATCTTTTGTGATTGTACGAGAATAAAAACTCTGTCAAGGTTCACATGAAGAACATTATTGTGCTAATTTTGTGCAGTGCTGTTCATTATATTATCAATTCTTTTCATTTTTATTTTAAACATCTCTGGACCAAAGCTTATTTAAAATGAACTGAGGTAAAGTGGAAAACTTCTGTGGTCAAACTGAAATTTGACTCTTTTTTTTTCAATTTTAATTTATTTTTCATGGACCTCAGTAAACAGGAGAGGGACAGCCTGTTATCAGCACACAGTTCAAACGCCTGCCTCTCTGATGGTATGGGGGTGCATAATTGCCCATGACACGGGCAGCTTACAGATTTGCAAAAGGCACCATCATTGCATAAATATTTAAGCAGGTTTTTGAACAACATCCAAACAACTTTGGTTTTTTCCCCAGGGAAGGCCTTGCATATTTTAACAAGACGGTACTTCATCCATTACAGCTTCATAGTAGATGATTCCAGGTGCTTAACAGGCCTGCGTGCAGCACCAGTTAACATTTCTGCTGATACTAATGCACATACTCAAAGTAAAAATAAAGGTCACATTTGTTGCATCATGAAACAAAAATCAAATCATCAAAGACGGTTAAAAAATGAAAATCCTACATCAGCAAAGAATGGGACAATACTCCCCTTCAACATCTCCAGCAACTGGTCGTCTCACTTCCTGGATGTTGACAGACCGTCGATAAAAGGAGATAAGGTGCTTCATAGTGGAATACATGGACATGTCCCCATTTTAAAGAGATGTGCTGCTGACATCAAATTCAAAATGGCCTTATTCCTAAACATGGTGCAATATCTTAGTTTACACATTTGACGTGTTTATCTGTATTTCTGTAAAGCACTTTGTGATTTTATCTATGAAAAGTGCTATATAAATAAAGTTTACTTACATACTTACTGTGTTGCATTGTGAATAAAATGTGGATTTATGAGATTTGCAAATCAATTAATTTTGTATTTATTCACATTTTATAAAATGTCAGAACTTTGCCAGAAATAATGTTGTAAAACGTCTGTAGTGGTAAAACCGATAAATCCTACAGTCTTGTTAAAATGTCACTACTAAGCTCTAATATCTCCTCGTACTCTCAGACTGTGCAGTTGATGCTTGTGCTGGTTTGTCTTTGTGATGAATCTTTCAGGGCCTGTTTCCGTTCAGTCGAGAGATTAAAGCCAAGATGGAGCAGTTTGTGGAGGAGAGAACAGAGGCCAGTTTGGTGAGCACTCCGACTACAGAGCTGTCTGCATTAAACCAACAATCACAGTGATCACATCATGATCAGACCATCTGGAGGGAAATTTTGGGCACATGAAAACCCTAATTTTTAATCTTTTGTTTGGGAGATTGTTATATCGTTATGGATTGAAAATAGGTGGTATAGATTTTGTTCACAGAAGAAGAATGTTTTGTCTTTCTTGCAGTGGATTTCTGTGCTGGTGGGAGCTGTGGTAACCATTTCATTCCTTGGGTTTTTGGTGTTTCTCCTTTACAGAAGATACAAACGATCAAGTCAGTACTCTTCACACTCTAATCCTATATAATCCTATATAACTTTCCATTACACGTTATTGTTATTCACAGGACAAGAATCTGCATTATTTTGGTATCACAAAGAAGCTCACTCCACAGAAGTGCTGGTTTGTCATCAATGTATATTTCCATACGACGACGACATTCGTTCTCAGCATTTAACCCATCGCACCTGGGATACACCCAGGTGGAGCACTGGGCAGCTATGCAAGTGCCCGGGGAGCAGTTAGGGATTAAGTGTCTTGCTCAAGGACACCACGGCATGTGGGCATGACGGGGACTTTCTTGTCTTAAGTCATCTGCCCTACCACTACACCATCTCAGCCCCCACATGTCAGCATGCTTATGATCCAGTCTCAGATGTACTGCATTACATAAGTGTGTTTAATTCAAACATTTTCAGTTTAATAGTATGATCCAAGTTCAACACAAATACTATGATACGTAATTAGAATGGGTGGATTACAAAATGCCAGTTTGCAAAAAGCTGTCGTTCTAAGGAAACCAGCAGATCGTGTTAAACCATCCTTCCATCCTTAGGTTTTCTGTTTAAAAAGATGCACACGAGGCCTCAGGTCTGAACAACCAAGTGTACTTCAGGTTCCTCAAACAATACTGACCTCCGGGTAATTTTAAACAGCAGCAGGGAAGTGATAAAGCTAAGCCTCACCACAAGCAGGTTGTTGGTCTTAGAGAACCTTTGCTTGTTTCAGAGGAAGATGCCGGTGTTCCTCACTACCGCTTCAGAAAAAGGGATAAGGTGATGTTCTATGGGCGAAAGATCATGAGAAAGGTAAGTTCTATTTTTATCAGCCAACATGTTGCTCTCCTTACAGTGGTTTCTGTTTGTTTAACGGGGCAACCCTGCATTATGATTTTATGTTACAATGTATTATATTTATGTGTAAAGGTTTTTGTTTTTTTCATTCAACCTTTATTTCTACGGGTTAGTCTCATTGAGCCACGAGGACTCATTTATAAGAGAGACCTGTTCCAGACAGAACAGAAAGTACAGACTACAATAACAATAAACAATAGTAACAATAAATTACAGTTAAAATGCAGTTAAAATTAAAGTAGTGTTATAAAACAATAAATCAGGGTGGCGTAAAACAAGGTAAAATACGAAAAACTAACGTATTTGTTTTGATGTTTCTAGTGACCTTATCAAATGTTTAAAATCCCCTAAAGAAATTAAGGTGGACAGCTTCAGTTCCAGTTGCAAGGTGTTCCAGGTGCAGGTGCTGAGGAGGAAAAGGTCTTTTGGCCAAGTTCAGTCCTCACTGAGGGAACGCTGCAGGTAATGATGGCCTGAGAGCGCACGTTGGAACTGCACTGACAAAGTGACATGTGGGAGGAGATATAAGAAGGTAGCAGACCAAGGAGGGATTTATAGATGAAGATGAACCAGTGTGAGAGCCTACGTGTAGATAATGATGACTAACTGACCAGTGAATACAGAGTGCAGTGATGGGTACGATAGTTACAACCAGTTATGAATCTTAGCGCACCATGATAGACAGCATCCAACATCTGCAAGGAGCTGGCAGGAGCATTCATATGCCAATGTCACCGTAGTCAATGACAGGTAGGAAGGTAGTGGTTACAAGACGTTTTCTGGCATTCAGAGTTAAACAAGATCTATTTCTGAAAAAGAAACCACGTTTTAATTTCAGTTTCTTTATCAAGTTTTCAACGTGGTTTAAAAGAGAGATGCGCATCGACCAAAATTCCCAAGTATTTGCAAGAATCTACAAACTCAATAGGAACACCATACATGGATGAGATAGGAGGAAGAGTTGCTGGCACCGACTTTCTGTTGGAAAACATCATCCCTTTGGTTTTGTCAGCATTTAGCACCAGCTTGAGATGGAATAAGTCAGACTGAATGATGTCAAATGCAGACTGTAGAAGCTGGAAAACCTGGGCAACTGTGTTAGCTCAGCAATAAACAACAGTGTTGTCGGCATAGAGATGCAAGGATGCGTCAGGAATGTTTTGACCTACATTATTTATATAAATTATAAAAAGAGTGTGACCTAAAACTGAGCCTTGTGGCACATGATTAGTGTCCGTTAGGTAGATAGATGAAGTACCGTTATCTTGAACACATTGCCTTTGACCTGAGAGAAAGTTTGAGAACCAGACAACAGTGTGATCTGAGAAGCTAATATCTGAGATCTCATGGTTTAAGCATAACTGTTTTAACCACTGTTGTTGTCACTCTTTCTTAAAATCAGGTCTCTCTTGTAAATGAGTCCCCGAGGCTCAATGGGATTAATCTGTATAAATGAAAGTTGAATGAATAGGATGTCATGATCTATAGTACAAACCGGATTCCAAAAAAGTTGGGACACTAAACAAATTGTGAATAAAAACTGAATGCAATGATGTGGAGATGGCAAATGTCAATATTTTATATGTAATATAACATAGATGACAGATCAAAAGTTTAATCTGAGTAAATGTAACATCCATCCATCCATTATCTTTACCCGCTTGTTCCATTTTGGGTCACGGGGGTCGCTGGAGCCCATGTCCAGCAATCACTGTGCGAGGGGCGGGGTACACCCTGGACGGGTCGCAAGTCCATCACAGGGACACATAGAGACAAACGAGACAAACAACCATTCACTCTCTCACTCACACCTAGGGACAATTTAGAGTTACCAATCAGTCTAACATGCATGTTTTTGGACTGTGGGAGGAAACCGGAGTACCCGGAGAAAACCCACGCATGCACGGAGAGAACATGCAAACTCCACCCAGAAAGGCCCCTGGACCGGGGTTTGAACCAAGGACCTGCTCACTGAGAGGCAGCAGCTCTACCACTTGCGCCACCGTGCTGCCCGTAAATGTAACATTTTAAAGGAAAAATATGTTGATTCAAAATTTCACAGTGTCAACAAATCCCAAAAAAGTTGGAACAAGTAGCAATAAGTGGCTGGAAAAAGGAAATTGAGCATATAACGAAAAGCTGGAAGACCAATTAACACTAATTAGGTCAATTGGCAACATGATTGGGTATAAAAAGAGCTTCTCAGAGTCAGTGTCTCTCAGAAGCCAAGATGGTAAGAGGATCACCAATTCCACCATTGTTGCGCAGAAAGATAGTGCAACAATACCAGAATGGTGTTACGCAGCATAAAATAGCAAAGACTTTTAAGTTATCGTCATCAACCGTGCATAACATCATCAAAAAATTCAGAGAATATGGAGCAATCGCTGTGTGTAAGGGTCAAGGCCGTAAAACTCAACTGGATGCTCGTGATCTCTGGGCCCTTAAACGTCACTGCACCTCAAACAGGAATGCCACTGTCAAGGAAATAACAGAATGGGCTCAGGAATACTTCCAGAAAGCATTGTCAGTGAACACAATCCGCCGTTGCCAGCTGAAACTCTACAGTGCAAAGAGGAAGCCATTTCTAAGCAAGCTCCATAAGCTCAGACGTTTGAACTGGGCCAGGGGTCATTTAAAATGGAGTGTGGCAAAATGGAAGACTGTTCTGTGGTCAGATGAGTCACGATTTGAAGTCATTTATGGAACACTGGGACGCCATGCCATCCGTACCAGAGAGGACAAGGATAGCCCAAGTTGTTATCAACGCTCCGTTCAGAAGCCTGCATCACTGATGGTATGGGGTTGCATGAGCGCTTGTGGCATGGGCAGCTTGCATGTCTGGAAAGGCACCATTAATGCAGAGAACTATGTTCAGGTTCTAGAACAACATATGCTCCCATCTAGACGTCATCTCTTTCAGGGAAGACCCTGCATTTTTCAACACGATAATGCCAGACCACATTCTGCAGCAATCACAACATCATGGCTACATAGGAGAAGGATCCGGGTACTGAAATGGCCAGCCTGCAGTCCAGATCTTTCACCTATAGAGAACATTTGTCGCATCGTAAAGAGGAAGGTGCGACAAAGAAGGCCCAAGACGATTGAACAGTTAGAGGCCTGTATTAGACATGAATGGGAGAGCATTCATATTTCTAAACTTGAGAAACTGGTCTCCTCTGTCCCCAGACGTCTGTTGAGTGTTGTAAGAAGAAGGAGAGATGCCATACAGTGGTAAAAATGGACTTGTCCCAACTTTTTTGGTATTTGTTGATGCCATGAAATTTGGAAACAACAGATTTTTCCCTTAAAATGATACATTCTCTCAGTTTAAACTTTTGATCTGTGGTTTGTGTTCTATTCTGAATCATATATTAGATGTTGGCACCTCCACATCATTGCATTCAGGTTTTATTCACAATTTGTTTAGTGTTCCAACTTTTTTGGAATCTGGTTTGTATCAAAGGCTTTGGACAGGTCTAAAGTGCAGCACAGTAATCCTTAGCATCCAAAGCTTCAAAAACATCTTTAAAAATTTTATTGAAGTTGTCAGGTTTTATTGTCTTACTGTACACAGGCTGTTATATGTAAAATAAGGGAGGAGACAGGTTATTTATCCCTGTCCACCCCTAAAAGTATATTATCCTGCTGGAAGCTAAACCTCTGTTCTAGTCTCAAATCGCTGGAAGACTCCATGTTCCTCTCAAGAATTTCTCAACCTTTCCTTTAAGTCTGACAAGTGTTCCAGTCTCTGCTAATGGAAAAGAAAAACACTCCCACAGCACGATGCTGCCACTACTACCATGCTTCACTGTAGGTCTGGTGTTCTCAGCATGGTGAAAGGTGGTATATTTGATTCAGACATGGTGTTGTCCTTGATCGTCTAAAAGTTTGAATTTGAACACTTCTGAACACAAACCTTTCTTCCACATGTTTGGGAAAGAAATTTCCGCTCAACTTATATTTCTATAATTCGTAGACTCTTATGTAGTGAACTTAATCTGAGGTCAAAACTCTTGACCTTAAGAACCTTGTGGGACAGGAACTGTCATTTCATTGATTTGAATCCAGAAATACAGGTTCACCCATCCTGAGACTTTCTTTCTTGAAAATTCAAGTGAAAGAACACTCTCTTTTTATTATCATTACTATTTTACAAATGTTGATAATCAAAGTGTCTTAGTTCAAACCATTTTAGATGTTGCAGTGAACTAATCAATTTTATTAACTGTGTAATGATTTTTAATTCTCATGCAAAGTTAGAACTCATGTTAAAGCTGTTACAGAGTAATTATGCATTTTTTGATTTCTGTCTGTGAATGAGCAAAGTGTGCGTTCCAGGGTCAGGAGTCGAAGCAGACATGCGTTGGAACAACTGTCCTGTTTATATCCTCTCAGACGTCAACAGGGGGGTTTTGGCACCTGTTTCTTAAACTCGCCAAAACAAAACTCTCTCTGTCTGTGAGAACATTTCTGATCTGTTCCATAACAATTCTTGCTGCCTTCTAACCTTTTACGTCACAAAACACACCCCGCCTGAATGATCCTAGGAGCTATGCTGTCCCAAGACAGATTGGTCCTAGGTTACAGGCCAGACAAAGAGTGATTCGAAAGATTTTTATGGTCATGACACAGCAAGGAACTTGGTGTCCCTTACCCGGATGTGGGTCACCGGGGCCCAACCCTGGAGCCAGGGAGCCTGGGAGAGACTCGTTGGCAAGTGCCTGGTGACCGGGTCTCTACCCATGGGGCCCGGTCAGGCTCAGCCCCAAGGAGCAGCATGGGTTTGCCTTCCTGTGAACCCACCACCTGCAGGAAGGGCCATAAAAGTCGGGTGCATGATGCTATGGGCAGTGGCCGAAGGCGGGGATCTTGGTGCTCTGACCCTGGCTTACCAAAACTGGCTTTTGGGACATGGAATGTAACCTCTCTGGCAGGGAAGGAGCCTGAGC